ACAATCTGCATCACTTTGCAGAGTGGTTCCGTGGTTTTGTGATTATAGCGGCTGCTATACGTGCAGAATGTCCTCCGTTCGATTCCTTGCGAAACAATGAGTACCACGCCTTGATTGCAACACATTTTTAAAATTTCATTTTGCGAAACCTTTTGATAGCAAATGCAGTCTTTGCCCCCCCCCCGGCCCTCCCCTTAATTATCTGTGTTGCTACTTGATGTTGACTATGCTTTAGTTTGTAAGACGTTCTCATTGTGATGCTCAAATATGTTTTAATTAATTTTTGTTTGCTGAAACTACGTTCAATTGATGTTACATTCACCGGAAGTGTTAAAAAATTTGCTGGGCTGTAGAGGTATCTGGGTAAGCGTTTTCAAGTTCACATTTAAATGAATTGTCAGAGATTTTTCAAATGTGTATTTATTAAATTATCATCGGAGCTCAGAGCGGGATGCTCGAAACTCTAACTCTCGTTAAGCTTGATTAAAAACGTCTCTGCAAGCTGGTCTGACGTTAACATAAACTCCCTTTTGGAAAGCGACTGGAGATTTCTGCCTTATAGAATACTAAATATGTCGTCTAGTTCTAGCATGCTGCAAATCATCTTCGCAGTTCTGAAAGTACCTGGGTTCACTCCGAGTTCTACATTTTCTCTGGATTTAGTGGTTGAATAATTTTTACCAGTTTCTTGAAACTATTCGAAATGCTTTATGGGCCCAAGAATGTGTGCTACAGTCTAATCAATTCTTCTACTCGTTCTGAAGAAGTTTGTTCACGCAATCAATATGACTCAAAACTTTGTATAAGAAACAATTCATCACAATGAACTCAGATGTTGGGAGATCTCTGAAGAAGAAGTTCTGGCCTCATCTCGTTTTTACATGTAAGGCCTTTGCCACATTTTTTCCTGTTGAAAAAAACGTGTATTGCTTCAAATTTTTGTTCACCACCTGGTCTCTGACTGCGAGTTTAGAGTGGTTTGCACGCGAGCTTGGAGAATTTAGCATAGTGAAGTTGATAGAGTAAAGAACAAAATTAGGTGTTCATAAATGTGTTCATAAATGCGTTTCAGCCTCTGCAATCACACTAGCTACTTGAGCACCCACCAGATCGAGTGGATAAACTGCACATGGTATAAAAAAGGAAGGGGAGTCTCGCCCATGACAACATTTCCGAACAATATTGTGATTCCTGGTCGTGTTAGCTACACTATCGTGAGTTTGGCAAAAGCAGTTGTTGATATCCAGGCCACCTTTATTAATTTTTTTCCATTGCAACTTCTGGCCTGAACAAGTTTTATGTATCACAGTGATAAAATCGATGAAGCTCTGAGAAATTTCTGGGCCCTAAATCTGAATCAGTGATTTCAATCAGTATAATTATTTAACTGAATATTAAGTTATTGGTCTGTTACATACTGTTAAATCGGTGGAATGCGATGTAGTTTTACTGTAATTTCAGTGCAATTCACCAGAAATAGGTAGAAATCACATTTTAATTAGCGAATACTAGCAACTAAAATAATCAGTAGAATTTTACTGATTCAAGTAGAGCAGTTCCAACACATCTGCAGTCAAATTTGCTGATTTGCCAGATTTAAGTGTTTGGATTTTAGAGCGTAGTGCAGTCAAACACAATGGAAAACTACATTGCGTATTAAACGTCGTTCAGTATTTACTCCCTTTTTTTCTACATTAAAAAAAATTATCTAGCTTACGTTCGAAAATTAGTAACCTAGTCTATGAATGGTCATGATTTTCTTGTAATGGGTCATGGTAATGTGAAACGAATTCCATTGCATTGAGAAACTTCCCACTTCTTTTCACAGCCCATCAAGAATTAGCTCACAACCCACAATTTGGGATACACTGCTCTAGGGAAATCGCATTAATTATTTCATTAGTTTTAGTCGCTTTCAGTGACCTCGTAGTTCTATTATTCTAACACAAATAACCGCGAGTCCGTTTACACCTAATACTATCAGAAGAACACATATTAATTCTCAGCTAAATTTCTGGGGAAAGACAGGTTTACGAGATCACCCTCCTGCATGTGTCTCTCTTAGAATATGTGTGTTTGTCCACCTTAGAACTTCTGAACCCTTGGACCGAACTTCACCAAACTTGGTGCATTTTTAGAACTAAGTATGAACACCTGACTTTCATTGATTTTAAAAATGCCGGGTACTTATTTTCAAATTGACGGTTGCTTAATTTTTTTTAATTCAGTGTCGTATATCAGGAACTATTAAATCGATTTAAACGAAAATTGGTAAACCAACGACTTCAAATATATTAATTATTTTCAAGTATTACTGTTTTAAATTAAAATGCATCAAAACCTGTACTATGCATTTCGTAACCATTCATGCCAACAGTTAGTTTAAGTACTGTAATTACATTAATCAAGTCACTGTTTTCAGTGTTAATCTGATAATAAACTAAGAATCTACAACGCAGCTAAATAGTTTGTAGCATCAGGCATCAACGAAATTACGATGTTTTCATTTAGTGTACTAGCTTTTTGCCTAGCTTTGATCCCAGTCCACAAAAATGTAGTCTGGCATATGCCGCCCGTATTTCAGATTACTGTAGGCCTATTTATTAGCGTGTCTACAATATATTATCTTATGTCGATCCACTTAGGCAAACCGGGTTCGATTATCGGCGGGGTCGTCCTCAGAATTTCGCACGTGGGAATCATGCCGGACGATACCACTGGTCAGTGGGTTTTCTCGGGGATATCCCGTTTCCCCCGCACTTGCATTCCAGCACTGCTCCATATTCACATCGCTTCACCCTCATCAGCTCTCAAATACCTCGATGTCAAGAGCCACCCAAATATCTTCACTCAGCTTATGTCGATCTTATATTTTTAAGCTATTCTAGTAAACTTAGTTCAAAAATACACTTACCATTGTGGCAATAAGTGCATCCTACTAAGTTTGCTGTAGGAAATGAATGGCCTCAGTTAGAGAACATTTACCTGTACCTCAAGCCCCTACAGCAACCGAAACTTGCCTGTTGTGATTAAACATTTTAATGGAAAGTTAGTATGTAATACAACATTCTGTATCGTTCACAAATTGCCATTTTACATGTGCAAGACTCGAAGTGAAACAATCCGAATAAAGAAAATATTAGTTATTTAATATTATCGAATTACTTTTAAACCAGTTCATATATTCAATTTTTATTATTTTTAATTGCCCTAACCTTACCTAACGTGTCCTAACCTAACCAAATATTATCATCGTTTTTAGATAAACCAATATGGCCTTGAGAAATAGGATGCATAGGTTTAATGGCCGTAATAGGAAACGTAATAGTAACAAGTATGTTAATACTCAAAGTGATGTAAACCATAAAAAAATGTTGCACATTTGAAGAGAGTGGGGCGAAGAAAGGCACCGGCTATAATTCCAGTCCTTGTATGACCCACCCCGAAGCAAGAGTGCAGTGGTTCGAAGCTCACTGTGGTCAGGAGGCCATGTCTTTAGTCTCTCAGTTCAGAGCCGATACGAACTGATTTATAAATTTAAAGCACGTATAGTATTTTAATTCAGAGGAACAATGCTTAAATTTTCTTAGATCTAAATATTATTTGAAGTGCATTGCAATAGTGCAATAGAATAAGGAGCTTGGCCCGTAGATCGTTCCATATGGTTTGCGGCCTAGACGGAATTTCTCTGAATTAAGTTTAATTATCAAATGCGATATATGATGTGCGTATGGTTATTAAGTAGCGACGGAATGAAGGCGAGGAAGACAACCAATTGCAGCCACAGAAAACATCTATGAATGATTTATTTGGATTAGTAGTATTTTGTCGTTGACAGAGAATTTCAGGGGGGAAAAAAAAGAATAATGGTTCCGTCCGAGATCGAACCGGGGATCTTCTGCGTGTAGTGCAGACGTGGTAACCACTTTTTTAAAATAAATTTACCCTTAACCTATTATAAAGTACACATTCAACCCACAATATAAACAATAACGAAATACTCAATAAAATATCTACACAATTCTTACATAGGGGCACAAAACGATATGAACATTTGGTGAATTGGTTTTACTGATAAAGTCGATTAACACATTAAAAAACTATTCAACGTGAGGGGCAGCGTATGGCGTACACCCCGACACGGGACACTTACTAATAACACTACCGCCTACCGACGATTACTACTGGAACATTAAATTGTATACTTGTAAGGACCGAGAGGTAGGCAGCGCACGGCGTACACCCAACCTCGGTAATATACACGCACTTCCTGTAGGCGTGAACGTCAGAATGAAAATAAAAAATTGCCGTACCACTGACGCAATGTGCCACGCCGCGCCATGTTCCACCAATATTGACGAAGAAGCTGGACAAAATCTCGAACTGTCACCGGTGTCGAATGGTCCATCAAAAAACCTATCGCATGAAGTATATACCAGGCCGCAGTTCTTCGTCGAACTGAGGGGAAGGTGAACAAATCGCAATGAAGCATGTGCGTGTCGTTCATCGCGAATTATTTTTCGTACTCGTACGCGATACCACTGCCAGATTCGAGCTGCATCAACACAGGAAATTACCCTATGAAGGGCCGTGTCGGTGTTGCCACACAGCGGGTATGCAGGGTCAGCTGTCAGGTGAATGCTGTATTTACGCTGCTGAGTTGCCACGATATTATTGTAGAAGCGGAATGCTGCAGCTCGAAGATCCGAGCAAAGGTTAGTATCGGCAAGTATTTTCCATGGGCGCCTCCAGCGGATGGTTGGGGTGCGATTCACAACAGATGGTATGACTGCCGACGTTTTGGAATCCCGAATGTACAAATATCTCGCTGATGCGACTGTCCCTTCCGGTAAGTGTTCTACTAGAGTTGCGTGTGCTTCCTTTGCCTGACGGCATTGAAATGGCCACGGAACCAGTTGATATTTGTCACGTAAAAACATGTATTTACAACAGCAATCGGCATGTGAAAATCACTGGAGTGTGAGTAAAACTGATCGTGAGGATCCGTGTTGTAGCGGTTATCACGTCTACATTATACACAGGAGGTCCCCGGTTCGATCCCGGGCGGAACCTGCAACATGTATATCAATTCAATAGCAGTGCGTAGTAGTGGTTGGTTTTAAATATTTATCATGTTGACTAAGCATTTTAGCCCAGTTGCTTGCTTTTTTTTTTTTTTTTTCACATAGGCAATTTTTCTGCAGCAATTCATGAAGACTTCTCCTTGCGTCATATTTCACATAAGGTCATTACGTATTATGTGATAAACAATTACTACGCGACTTGGCAAGTACAAGGTGGATCCCAGCTCACGGGACTTTCAATGTTTGCGTTCCTCGTTCAACACCAGGTAGAACAAATAACGGATTTTCGCATTGTGACGTTGCCGATAATCGATGGATTGTCTAAAGGTGCTTATTTTCACCCCAAATTTTCATATCGTCGCTCCTCCACTTGACGTTACCTAATATCATATTGTATCTACTAGAGTCGTTAGATTACGTTGATCCGTGAGAGCTGATTTTAGTACGAATGTTCACTCGAAGTATGATGCAATGAAAACGGGTTCCCTTCGCCTCCAAAAAATAAATTATATCATGTTCGTCAATATGGTGTGCCAGAGAATGGCTGGCAGAAGTTACTTGTCTCGCTTGCAGGATGGCGCCCCGAGCAAACGGAAGTTATATTAGAGATGCATTAATTCTGACGAGGAATATAGCGGAAAATATACATTGTGCCGATGTTCCTTCCGTAGCATTGCACAGGATATCCAGTGCTTCCATACAGTTCATCCGTTATTATTTTCGTCTTTTTGGAAACCGTGTTGAATGTTTACTACTATCGGACTGCTCATTGCTTATCCTTACACTACATTTAAGGCGAATCAGTCTCCTCCATCTTGGATTTTCGGAATTTTCGCCGTAAATTGCATTACAGATTTTGTATTTTATTTTGGGCTTCGACAAAGCATAGGACATTATATTGCACATGTTCTACAACATGTATTCCTAGATTACTGTTCCAGGACCATTTATGTAACCAAAAGCATGAAAAAATTATTTATTTCTTGCCTTCAATCACTAGTCGAACAACAATCAATTCTATAGAGTTGTAATAGTTTGATTAAAGTCAAGGAGCTATTGTTTATGTCATGTCATGCGAGAAATCTCATTAAATGTTCTTACATGGAACTTATGGCAAACATAGTGAAAATACAAGATGGCGGGGACGGATCCCCCTTAAACAAAACTTAAACAAGTCTGGGAAAAATGCCGAGGATAAACCGACGTGCCGCATTCGTGCGCTGTCCTGGGCAGATAATTAAAAAAATTAATAAATGCTGTTCACGATAAAGTGAACACTTTTGAAATCAACCTTAGAAAAAAGTCACTGCCCCTGCATGCATATATTTTAATGGGTGCACTGAGTGACATTTGCCCAATGAAGTTGGTAACAATAGATGTAAAGTAGTTCCATATCTTAACGTCGATTAAAAAGTGTTACGTAGCCATTTGTGATAACTTAAAATTATTTATTTCACTTTCTGTTTTTTAATGTATCGAAGTGTAAAAATGAGCAGATTTGTAAAGTATTTACTGTATTTATAATTTCACATTTTCACCTGACCGACGCATAAATAAAGTGATGACGCCCATGGCTATGTTAATTTTACATAAGGCGGAAAAAATACACAACGTGTATACAAGTAGATCTTAAGCAGGGCTTTCAAAAGTGCTCATTTCACTGTGAACAGACTATAATTGTATACACATAGTAAACTGCTGAGGTAACTTTGTGCTACCCAGTATTTTTTTTTGGTGCAATTTGGCAAAGAGAGAACTATAGCTAGGTAGTTTAAATATTTTATGTTATCTACCCGGTGAATGTGCCTTTCATCAAATGGCACCAAAACAAACATTTTAGTGGTGCAGGTGCAAATAAATTATTATTTCAAAAATAATATTCCTGGTAACCCAAATAAGGTACTAAGAGATGTTTTATATATAAACAACCTAACAAAAATTAATCTAATAATTTTCTACGTGAAAGCTATTTATTGTTGCTAATACCGACATACCTTTTGCTTTCTGTTCTTCATTCACAGTGGATATAAAAAAGCCTGAATATTATTATTATTTAGAGGCAAAATATAAGCGAAAACTTAATTTCACCAATAAAGAAGAAGAAGAAAAAACGGTTGTGTGATATGATTTACCTAGGAAACATCAAACATAGTACACACGGGATGCTATTTGTAAGGTTTTATCCAATAAGTGTGATGAAACCGTAAATAGACTATACAGTAGTAACGGTCGGTTCTGACGTAGTTCAGAACATATTCTAACTCTTGTGTCCGAATCCAAAACCACGCTCGCAGAATACTCTTTCCCTATCACAATTAGTTTTCCGTCCCAAGGTCCATCTACCCATATGAAAACCCTTCAAGCCACTTGATGTGGTTTTTATGTGTTACTGCCGTACTTGTTACTAGGTGGTGACGTAACATATGATAAGCAGGGGTGCTTTGTCTTACGGAGTTCGTACACTGTGGCTTTTTTTTTTACGGCGTCTTAACACTTATTGAGTCAAACCTTTGAAAAATCGCCTTGTGTATGACGTGCTTGGGGGTTTTCTAAATATATCATGTATGTATCACAAGCGTTTTATACCTAAAATATTACTTCTATTAAATTGAACTTTTACTTATTTTGTCCATGAATAATAATATTTAATATATAATTAATATGAATAAAAACCGAAAGAAAATAAGTGTATTGGTAACGCCTAGTAAGAAATAGTTCTTACGCAAAATATTATTACACTGTGCGTTGTCCCCGTGAATGGACTCTAACTGTAATTCTATCAGAGTCCAGTAATACAATGGTGTCTCGTAACACGTATGCGTATTGCAAATGTATCGACATATCATCGGATACAGATGTTTGTTTACATCAGGCAACGAGAAGACCACGCCGAGCCTGACATTCTTGTCGAACTGATCCCTGATATAAACTATTTATTAACTCTTTGTAGGCTGTTCACGGTAAATTGGGCACTTTTGAAAGCACTGCTTAAGATCTACTTGTATGCACATCGTGTATTCTTCCTCCTTATGCAAGATTTACATTGCCGTGAGCCTCGTCACTTTATTCATTCGTCGGTCAGGTGCAACTGTGAAATTATTACAGAAGAAAATTTTTTGCAAAACTGCTCAGTTTTACACTTCAATGCATAAAAAAAAACAGAGAGTGAAATAAATAATTATGTTATCAAAAATGGTTACCTGACACTTTTTATTCGACCTTAAGATATGGGACTACTTTAAATTCATCGTTTCCAACTTTACTGGGTGCATGTCACTCAGTTCAGCGGTTAAAATATATGCAGGTAGGGGTTGTGACTTTTTCCTAAGGTTGATTTCAAAAGTGCTCACTTTATTGTGAACAGCCATTACCAAATGTTATATTTCACAAGACATGTAGACATATTCCCGAAAGCACCATCGGCTTGATTCAAGCATTGAATCAAGCTTGTCGTGACAAATCTGCACGATTGCAGCAAGCCTGCAATGCAAGCCAGCAAGTTTGAATTAAGTATGAATCAAGTCGAAATGTCAAGCTTGTAACAAGCCTAATTAATAATACTAGCTGCAAGCTTATCATTAACAAGCATGTGGCAGTTATAAGATATTTGGTTTGAATCAAGATCTAATCACACGTGATATGACAAGCTTGCTCTGCGAGGTAGACCTAGTCAAATTGCAGGCTTATCTCAATAAAATCATAAGTTTGGCGCGGGTAATTTTTTTTTTAAATTTTGTTAATTGTAGCTGCCAAGAAGAAACAAGTGATTTTTGTGCAGGTTACAGCAAATGTGTTAATACCAACTGTAGTTATACAATATAGACTTGAGACTTGAGAAAAATTAAGCTGTGCATATTCCCTATCAGTACATAAAATATGTTGTGAGATTATAATGAAAAAATAATAGGTATAATGAGAAATATCATGTATTCAGAAAACACGTTTTGTTTCTATATAATATGTAAATAAAAGTAATGAAAAGTTAGCTCTACATCGAATTTCGCGAGGTTCAGCACTACTTAAATAAAGAAGTTCACTTCCTCTGTCTGTTACATTATAAGAAAAATGAGAAGAATTTCGAAGACCGCATAAGACCTACTGGTTGCATCTATAGGCTACTAGGCCAACAAGCAGCCAGATATGAAGTCGTCGTTTTCTGCAATGCAAGGAACAATCAACGACATTGCATAATAATTAAAATGTATTTCTGATACAGCGAAACACTGTTGCACAAATCCTTCACCACGACTCATAGGGCCGAGACTAAAGAACTGGTCGATCCGGTGCCTCGGGACACTTGCGCAAGAACCCACTGCGACACATTGTTCTCGCCAGCTGGGTATCGGAACGACGACCAATTTGATGAGAGACAACCATATCGTCTACCCTACAGCCGCACGTCGCGTCGCGTCGGATCGATAATTTCGACGTATCCGTTAATGTGCGCAAGGCTCCAATTATAATAAACAAATTTTCATGCTGGCCGATATCGCTGTAATATACCCAGATTTAACTCCACTGGATTTTTTTTCTTTTTACCTCGCGTTTTGTAAAAATCCAACGCGTATTTAACGAAACTCAATAAATTGCAAGTGTTGAGGGATCGATTTTGGCAAGCAGTTGCACAATTTACACCACATATGTCGGAGGACGGTTTCCGTGACGCAGCTCCACGATTTGAGTTTTGCAGAAATTCCGACGGTGCGTAAGCGGAAATACTTAGAGTGGGATGGACCCCCGTGGGAACCCCGCGTCAAACGCCAAGAAACGAGGGAGCGATACGGGCGACACTAACACGCACGCCTAGTGCTTCATCGCACCTACGCGCAAGGCGTGCAGTGTTTCCGTCCTAACGATTCACTGTGTAAACTAGATCTGTAACTATGGGGTTTTATTACACGTGATGAAAGACCATACATTAAACTACGCTTGTATCTCTGCACTTTTCTCTTGCCCTTTCAGGAGATTTGAACATTTTCACGATTTTTT